CGAACCTCGGACTGGAACCCCTTGGAAGTATCTTCGGTACGTCACTGGCTCTTTCAGGCTCGCTTCTGTTGTGCTTCTGCGGCTCCTTTGTGCCATTCGGAACCAGCTTCTATTTGGTGATCTCTCCCAAATTGCTCTTGACGTCTCGCTTCAAACTCCTCCTCTCGTTCCCGGCGAGTTTCTTCTTGTAAGTGTTTTCCACGCGTGTGGCTTTCTCTTTCATGTCTGCGGCAACGACGCCATCCCATTTGTCCTTCTGACTCTGCGGCCAAGTCAAGCTCACAGAAAACACTTCTCTATCAGGATCTTCCAGCATAGGGCTGCGTCCTTGATGGTTCTTTGAGAGCACCAGTCGATCCAGACCACAGAAACTCTCGGTGTAACCCCAAGGCTTGAAGACCTCCTTGTCACGGAAGAATAGATTGACGCCAAACTCGGTCCATGTGTGTTCATAGAGTGTGGCAGGCACAAAATAGACGTCCGATACAACATTGCAGAGCCAATCGGGGACATGCAGAACATTTTCCAGAACGATAGTGTGGTTCTCCCGACTGCCCGGTTCTCGACGAAGCTTGAGTTCGACTGTCCCAATGCCTTGAACCGGGACTTGGCGTCGATCAGAAACCGCGAGGACATATGACTTGAAGGAGACGTATGTCTTGAAGGAAGCACGATCGATGGCGATGTGGACATTGGAGGCTGTCGAGAAGATCCAATCATAACATTGCTTTTTCTTGGTCTTCTTTGCAGACACAACATAGGAACTGGCTCGTCTATGGCTTCGCGTTTGATAGTACGAGCTTGGGTGGATTGTGGGAGGCAAGTTTCCACGGGGGTCAAACATAACGGACATGTTGCTAGTTATGTTTGACCTGCGAAATGAAAGCTAGAGAGGATAGATCTGCTGGTCTCAATGAGTGGAGTTTGAGCTAGTTGTGTCGTCAAGAGTATTTGCTCGCCAAAAGAGTGAAAAAGTAGCCAAAGTTTGGGGACGTTGATGTAAAAAGGAGAGGCTGCAAGAATCAAGAATGAAGAGAGTACAAACTGAATATTGCTGACTATGGATTGAGGCACCGTCAGCGATATCCTAGAGTCTGGCAAGTGCGGCTTTCTCATTCCAGGAGATGCAAGCACAGGTTGTTCGAGGACGGAAGCTGTCGATCGCGAGGAAGCAGCCACTCCAAGCGACAGCATCGCTCTGAGCTCGTTGGGCTTGCCTCTTACGGCGCAGGGAGTCTTCAACGGCGTTGAAGCATTCATCACAGCTTCAAAGCTGTAATTCTGTTAACAAGCCGACCTTATCAAAACGTCATGAAGAAGGACAGTGTCGGTGACACTGGATTGGTCGTAAGACAGTGTGACACTCTTTCGAACGCGCAATTTGTAGACTTGCAAGGAAAGAAAGGAGGCTGGTTGCACCATGCCTGTGTCACTTCTCCTCCAATTCCTCCTATATCAGACCTTTTACCTCTCCTCTCGCACTCTCACCTGCTGACACTTCATAGACAAAAGGGGTGAAATTGTTTTAAACCCTTGAGCGTCTAGTCAATAGGCTCAGTCCCTCCACATATTCGTCGCAAGGTCACCATAGCCATAGCCTCCACACAAATCGCCATGCTGCCAACTACACCGACACCTCGAATCAAGCATCAGTCCGTCGCTTTGAGGTCAACATCGAGCATAAGATGGGTGTGAGCACTGACGAGCCTCCTAGGACCGAGAACGCATTGCACAACGATCCGATGCTGTTTCGCCCCAGACCACGACCAACGAATCCCCTCCCTGACCCTCCCCCAGTCCCAAATTGATAATCATCATCTTATTCATGGCTGTGGTAGATGGACACAAGAGCAGGTACGGAGCGGTTGACCGCAGAGTGGACCATAGCGGGCAGGTATTAATCTGATGGGCATTACTGTACGTTGTAGTTGGCCTCTCTCTTGGGCGAACGAAAGAGGAGGTACGTCTCCCACATCTATGCCTCACCGTGGGCGGAAATACGGCGCCACAGATCATACATAATACCTAGCCTGATAGAACAAAACTAGGTCCTTGGTTAAAGTTGCTTTGTTATCCTCTCATGATTGTTTGGAAAAAATTGCAAGCTACTGTGAACCCGTTCGTGCAATACTTGATGTAACACACGCTTCTTCTATCATGGCTGAAATGCTCTAGATGCGCACTCCCTCCTGCCCCATGTCTGGCAATCGTCACTCCCCAACATGGCAGTTGGTTGGTTTGCAATTCGGCGGAGAACTACACCTGTGCCTTACATGAAGCACGATGGATTCCACGGAAACGATCTCTCAAACGAACGTGAAAATATTGCCAAACCATTCTGCCAGACATGGGTTCGTCCACTGGAACGAACCAACTTTCATTGGGACAGACACTTTGCTGCAAACTGTGACACAATGCAGTTACCTTTAGGGACATTGACCCGAGGGAACTACAAGAGTTCCAGCCGCGCAGAAACTTAAAGCACAAAATATAGCATCTATCAAAGCTTCATGGTGGCCGACCGCAAGCTGCTTAGCTACAAGGATGGTACTTTCAAGGACATTTTCGTACGCAACATGGCGCAGAGAAGCTCTTCTTGTGTCCGGCATGTCATCCTGCTGACTTTGAAACAAGGTTGTGAGCCTTCACAGCAACGTCTCGCAGTGAACCAGGTGCTCCGAAACTCGAGTTGCAACAATCTAGCTAGCCACCAAAGAAATGCACTCGAAACAAGGTCTTCTAAGGAGACTGTGGTTCAAACCCTTCGCCTGCGTACCTTGTACTTTACTCCAGGTCCTTACAATTTTGATTCGGGTGATGTCCCAGGTCCCAGAGTTTGACCGAAACAACCAAAGTCTAGGTCTTGGTTCGACGTAGAGATGAGGACCTCAATAGGACCTTCGGGGCACATTGATGGATATATATGTGTGTATGTGTGGTGTATCTTAGTTCTCTTGCATCAACTAGCACTGATTGTGACACTCTCTTGACCGGCTGCTAAACACCCATCCCCTTTCAGATAGCATCCTTCAACAACACATTTCTTAGCTACCTTTTACGCACTTCGAGATGTCCTCTCAACTCTCCAACAACGACACCACAAATGCCTCTATTCCCATTTCTAACGACCAGGCGCGCTCCTTCCCTCCAACACAGGCCACAGTATCCAACGCCAACTACGTCGAACCCTTTGTGCGCCCAATGTCTCCTCTAGTCCCAACAAATGTGGGCCACAACCAACGTCGTCGCATACCGATGCTCGAAGTCGACGAGGATGGGATCGAGGATATTCAGGTTCCCTTGATCCCAGCAATTGGGCGGATCGAGGACTTGGTTCGATACCCGTCGCCGGCCTCCTCGTCGCCATCTCCACCAACACCTATTATCACGCCGGTGCCCGACCATGGTGAGACGATGATACCTGACTTCGACTTAGAAAACCTGTCCGGTAGTGCCCCGGTGAACGGGTTTGTCATTCGCTCCCGCGAGGATATCCTCTGGCGTACGTACAGTCGAACTGGTAGCTCGATTGGCGTTCTAATTGAACGCAGTACGACACTTATTCCTGTCGTACCGGACGAGGAGGGCTCTCCGCTGCCCCCGAGACGGCGACAACAAAACCCACGGCGCCGACCCGTGTCGGAAAATCCCCAATATGTCGAATTACGTCCACAGTTACCGCATTCTGCCTCGGTCACACGCACAAGACCATTGATCGAGGAGGGTGTGCTGGAGACAACCCTGCCGATGCCGACGAGTCAGACTTCAACACAACGCAGACGTGTTGAGAATATTGGGCACAGGGTAGACTCCTTGATTGAACATGTTGCGCAAGTGAGATCTTGGACGCAGCAGAACGGAATAGATGGGCTTCAGGATTGAAATGATGCAGCCTCCTAAAATAGGTCTCCAAGGGTGACAGTTCAGGGGCGTTTAATGGTTGATCCAACGCAAGGCTATGTGTCTTGGATAATATATGAGTGCAACCGAAATAGAACAGGATAGCCAAAAATGATACTACTAATCAAGTTGACGTGTATTTCAATTTTCCATGCACGCGTCCTAGATAGGAGTATATACTTGTAAATTGTATCTCGGGACATATGACCTCATTCGACAACTCGGTGGCAAATTACTTAACGGGGTTAGCGGAAAACATGGGGCTTGGCACAATCGAAACTCCATTCGGGTTCTCAAACTCCTTCCTTCGCTTCCCATTTTGCTTCCTCATCTCTCTATTCCTTACCTAAGACCATCCCCTATTCCCTAAATTGTCGACGGGGCCCCTTTCTCAGCATTTGTCGAATTCAGCAGGGGTTTGACCGCTCAGATGGGTATCGAGGGAGAGATCACATATCAGAGATGGAGGCCTTGTTATTTTTGTATATCCTCATGGGCCAGGCTGCGCATTCTCACGCAGTTCAGATCGGGACGAGCCGAATTCTGACCAGGGACTCTCGTCTGATCCGCTCAAGAATGCGGAGCGACCAGGTGTCATGCTTGTTATCTATTGCACCTGGTTGCTTGTCGCAGTGGACCGTCGTCCGGCACCCCTGTGTACTCGGTATATCGCCTACTTTCCACATACAACCTCTTTGTCCTCATCAGCTAGGGTGATTCATGCGGTGGCATACCAAGCCACATCCTTCAAAAAGGAAAGAGAACAGTTCTCCAACGAAATGGCGAGGTATTAATGTGCGCAGCCAAGAGCACAACCTCAAAGACGGTCAATTGGTCGGTCAGGAAAAACTTGGATTACTAAGTTTGTATTTCAACTTCCACTTCTGTAGAACCCGGAATGGGTAGTGTTTGTAAGTATTATCTTTGCGAGTTTGACCCCTCTTCTGGCCCATGTCGTGGACAATCTCTGCTAGTCCACTCGTGGTTAATCTGAGATTCTGTCTCTCTCCAAAAATTCCATGTGGTCTCCGAATCCTGAACTTCATATCAAGCGTCCTTGCCAACTCGCCATGACCTTCATTCAGCAACACAACGTCTAAATGTCATCTGGGATTATTCATTTCGTCAACGAGACGGGGCAGGGGGATGACGGTGGACCGAGCAAGAGACGGCTGTCGCGGATCAATTCTCATGTTGCGCGCTTCTCACATCAACGGCGGAAGAACAACAGCAGCAGTAACAACAATTCCACAACTGTGAGCAAAACTGTGAGTGATATGGCGCATCATACGCTGTTGAGAGCTGCCCGCTTAGCTCTACCACTATACTTTGCCACTGATGATACAACTCGAACAGCCGCCGTTGCTGCAAGTCGACTTTGTCGTAGAAGATCCCCATCCGCCAGCTTCTCGCTCGTCCAGCGATAGTCCCGAGCAGATCCATCCGTTTTCATCGCGAGACAACAATCAAGCCATACACTCGACCGGTGTTCCCCGTCCGGAACAGTCAGAGCGACGTCGCAGTGCCGGGTCAACCGCGACCGGAGAGCCTAGAAGTAACAAATTGACAAGACATCAGTCGGCTCCTGTCCCTGTCAGTCATGTTAAGCAAGAGGAACATGATCTCCTTTCTAGAGAAATCACCAAACGGCACTCAGACGGATTGCATCTTCCCTTCTGCTCATCCCCCGAAATAGAGTCTATGGGGGCATTCTTCCAGCTCGCTGATTCTGTGGACCTTTACGAGAAATACCTTCTCAATTACTGTATGTATTATCTGAGCCGACTCTATAACTTCATGAATCTTTCTCTCTCCCTCTTAAGTTTATTGAATATTTTGCTGAGTCAAAGGTGCTGAAGATTTTACCGACCTGCAAACTCAGATGTTTGGTTTCCACAAAGACGCCCTGTACTGTCCACAAAGAGTACCTGCAGCTCGATCAATACAGCAATCTCGCGCGGCACTGCATTGGATTCTTATAATCGCTGAAGAGCAAATGGCCAAACGCATCAACGAGCCACCAAACTCGCATATTCTCAAACATTCGATCTTGAAACGTCGAGCGAGCGGTTATAAGATGCTCAGATCGCTCTTAAACAATGCGGACTTTGACTTGGAGACAGCTGTCTTGGCTTTGCGGTATGCGATCTCAGCTGAATGTTACATGAACCACAAAGACGCTGCCATGGAGCACTTGAAAGCACTGGACGCTTTATTGTCACGTCCGGGGGCCCTGGAACGCTTCGTCGCCAATCCCGACAAGACCGCACTGTCGCTCGCAACTCTGAAGAGGATGTACGTGTCTGTGCCTTGTAGGATAAAGTCCTTCAGCGACTTTGAAACCATCAAAACCATGGTCTTCATCAAGTGGAAGCGCTTACAGGCGTTGTCGAAGCAAAACCACGCCGACTTGGTCCGTCACGCTTGTGCCGCCTATCTAACAAGCACGAATAGGAATTGTCAGGCTCAAACGATGCCACCAAAGCAGACAAAAGAGACGCCTCCGGAACAGATTCTTCTTGATCGGTACATCTCGATCAAGAAGTCCGCGCTCTTCTCGACCTATTCCTGTGAAACCATGAATGCGGCTTGTGATCCAAATTGGATGTACACTTATCAGGCGGGGCTCTTTGCGCTGTTTTATGATATGAACATGACATTGGCAAGTTTTGGGAGGGACAATCTTCGCGACAAGATTTTGTTCCTAGAAAAGCTCAAGGTTGTCTTGGATGGCAGCTCTGCAAAAACTCTTGGAGGCACCTCGACGCTGTCCATCGTGGACTGGGTCCGCGAGCAGTGTTACCGTGAGTGCTTCAAAAAGGACGAAGCAATCGTCAAGGAAATTGATCTATGCACCTACGAGATCAATGGTTTCAAGGTCTTTGCGTTACTGGATGTCAGCCAGCGAATTCGTCTAACGGGCGCGTTACGCGCTTGGCTGCTCATCGATATCAGCGTCGACATTGACATGGATAAGGACGACTTGACTGAAGAGGAATTTGTCTCGATGGAGGAACAAGTCGCCAGAGCTTGGTGGGATGAACAGCTGACGCCAAACTCATCTCCATCACCTTGAGAGAAACCTTTGTCATCTTTTGATGTTCGCTAAAACGATTCAGCCTCGACGAATTCTTCCGACATCCCATCTTCTGCCATCTGGCAACATCGGATCTCCAGCTGGAGGCTTTCTTGGTCTGGCCATACAGGGACAAAAGCATGTTTTCCACAAACGGTCTTTATTTGGAGCCTGGTTAGGTCACCAATGGGGCCAATCCCATCATTCTGCTAGTCAGAGAGCAGCCCCTGTGCCCCTCCTCCACGAAGCCTTACCGGTACCCAGCCGGGAGGTGACCGCGATTTACCGACGCTGACTAAATGTGGCATGATTACTCGGTATACACTGAAAAGTCCCTTCGCGTACTCAATATTTGGTTTCACCTGACTGCGGGCTCCCTTCGGCTTGCACACTCAAGGATCAGCGTGCGGGTCCAAGATGTCCAACCTGTCTCGTGCGCAAGTCACGCCTTTCACTCAACAAATACACTGTGTACAATATCTGCCGGGGGATCGGGGCCTATTGTCCCCATCTACAGTGGAACAAGCTTATGCCGACGGTTTGAGATCGCTGCAACTAACGGCTGGGGGCGTCGAATCTAGGTCTTACTCACAAGTGGCATGTTCATGTGGCAGCTAGTGCCCGACTTGGAAAATGGTTTCGAGAAGCTGCGAGGATTCTTGGAGTTGCTGCTTATACCTTTTTTGGTCTTGTCCCATGGGAACCTTTTCCATCCTCTTCCGAGTATTGACAGTCCCTAGTCAAGCATTCTGTTACATGCCACCTTGAGCCCGAAGCTCTTAAGATGCGATCAGGAAACAAATGGTGACCCTTTGTTGGCTGACCCGCCCAGACAAGCCAGTATACAGTGCGCAAAACTACCTTGGCTGGCCTCGCTCATAAACTTTTCACATGACGCAGCTTAAGCTACTGGTGGTAGAGGACTATGAAGCCCAGAAACCGACCAGGCTGAGCTATCGTTTTGAGCATCAAGCAGGAGGTAAGCGACACAGAAAAAAGGCGTGTCAGATGACAATGGGGTCTACACTACTTCTCAAGATCAAAACGGATATACCGGAGCACAAAATGAAAGTGGCCTCTGCTCAACAGGACCGCGATGTCGGTCATATGATTGGAACGTATGTGTATGCCTTTGTCAAGTGCGGTCGACATGAGCAAGTCGTCAGGGCTTACAAAATTGATAGTGGACGACGGACGACGTACAACCCGGGGTTTCAGGGAGGATGTAGTGGCCCTGGTCTCTCGTGTCACTAGGAGATAGTACTCGCAGCACCGGCTGGGCTACAGGGCGCTACTGTCTCAATTCCGCAGCAAATCGCCTTGTATCAAATGAAAGCACGCCTACTCTTGGAATATGTTCCCTCATGGAAACGCCACATCCTGATTTCCTGCGGACTTGACATTTCCTTTAATGTCTTCTCAATTTAGAGCTATAGCTACAGTCGATACAGTCACCAAGGCCCCCTATATCATGTAGCTTCCTAGTTCACTCGTACCACTGGAGAGGCATTTCCGAAGTATCGTTCGCGAATTTGATCCCCCCGACTAGTCGCCATTATTTTCTGCCCCGTTCGAACACGACCAGGGACCGATCTCGGAAGAATTAGTTGGCTATCGACGAGACAATCATCGACAACGGAGGTCCCCGTCGCCCCGCCCGAGATTGGGAGTTGAGAGCTCCGGAGCCTCTGGAGTCGACCAGTTATCACTAAGCCTACTCGACTTGTCTCCATCTGCTACGCCTCTGGTACGCCTCTTCTCTCACCGTCTCTTCTCCCCCACTTGGGCCCGCGGGAGCACGAGGCGGCTAGAAAGCAAAGCTTACATAGCATTGAGACAGGTACGCCTTTTGGCCTTCCCCGCGCCAGTCAAAGTGCTCGCAACATTGTGTATCAACGATAAATTCTCTCGCATGACGCATGCCTAGTCCGAGGGTCGCTGGCTCGACATAAGAGGCAAGATGTCGTGTGCTTCAGCTTAAACATCATATTTTGCCCACCTCTTTGGTCTGCTATTCCCGGGACAGGCTGGTTGTCTGCTTAATCGACAATGCCACATACCGAACGCATTGCTCTGCGCGAGTCGCCGCCGTCATACGATGGCGGCGCAGTAGGAATAGCCCGAGACGCTGATGCCAATGTCGATGTCGAGGTCGAGGTCGACGAACCCAGTCTTGACCATGCTAATCCGAGGCAGTGGGCATCCAGGCGGCAGAAGGCTTGTGTTCTCGTGGGATCTTCAATTCTTCAGCTGCCAGTCTGGGGTAAGGCACCATGAGGTATTGTTACATGGCTGGTTACAATCCTTCTACTAACCACCGAAACCCCGTAAAACTGTGCAGGGTTTGCCATGAATTACGGCGTCTTCCAGGAATACTACTCCGGCAACTGGACGCTGGAGGGGAGTCGTGAAACCACCGGTATCATTGGCACCACCTCCAACGGTGTCATGTACCTGTCAATGCCTTTCCTGTTCGCACTCTTCTCCCGACGATGGGCCCGCCGACGGCAGCTCGCGGCGCTGTGCGGCGCGGTACTCAGCTGTGTCTCCTTCCTCTTGTCCTCATTCAGCACCGACGTCTGGCATTTAGTCGCGACACAGGGAGTCACGTCGGCGTTGGGGTGCGCTCTCATCTACAGTCCAACCACGCTGTCCCTGGGGGAGTGGTTCAACACGGGAAACCGTGCTGTCGCGTATGGGGTGGTCTTATCCTGCAAGAACATCGTCGGCTCGACCTGTCCGTTTATCCTGCGCGCCCTGCTCGACCGTTACGGCTTTCGCAACACATTGAGGATCTGGACCGCCCTGGCAGCGGCGACCAGTATCCTGGGCACATTTATGATCCCGACCCCGCCGTCGACCGTTACCATGGTCACCACCACCGCCACCAGCACCTCGAGTCCCCACCGGTCGCGCAGGATTCCCTGGCATTTCCTCCGCCACCGGACCTTTTACATCTACAGCGTTGCCACCGTCCTACAGAGCTCCGGGTACGGCATCCCGCAGACGTACTTGAGCACGTACGCGCACGAAGTCACGAAGCTATCGCAGACCTCGGCCACGCTGTTGCTGACGCTCTTCAACCTCCCGGGGATCGTCTCATCCTCGTTCTTCGGCTACCTCAGCGACAACAAGCGGCTCCCACTCTCGGTCACGACCGTGACGGCCATCTCGGCCGTCAGTTCGGCCCTGTCGGCGTTTCTGTTCTGGGGCCTGACCTCGCGGGGCGCCATGGCCCTCCTGGTCCTGTTCTCGGTGACCTTTGGCTTCTTCGCCGGTGGTTACAGCGCCACCTGGGGCGGCGTCATCAACGAGCTGGAGCGCGAGGCCGCGCAGCGCAACGAGGCCATCGACTCGGGAATGCTCTACGGCCTGCTCAACGGCGCAAGAGGCATCGGCTACGTCGTCGGCGGTCTGGCCGGCGTGTCCCTCCTGAAAGCCGGAGCCGACGTGGCCGCCTCGGTGCCCGGTCCCGGCTACGAGACTTCCTACGGTCCTCTCATCATTTTCACTGGTCTCTGCACCGTGTTTGGCGGCTGGGGGGTGCTGTGGAAAATACCCAAGCTGCTGCGCTTGGTGTGATGCGACGAGAGCATTCGTATAGGTAAATGTGGTCGTTGCGATCTCATCACTAGCAATTTAGACCACTTTTTTGGAAATGTGGTTCTTCTCGCTTTCCTTGTACCCTGAGGGCATCTTGCGTTCATGGACCACAAGAAAGCGGTGTTGCGGGCTTTAGTGCGGAATAGGTTAGCTGACCGCACCAACTAATTTCTAGAGAGGCCACAATCTTTGTCGTGAATTGTTCAAAGGTTAAAATGATTGGGTTTTCTGGCTGCGGTATCGGACCATGATTGTACGTGCTAATCACTTGTGTGATGCGGAGGATGTCGAGTATCTACAAGTACTCGGTACTTGGTAGTACCATGCAGTAGTTGGTGCCCAGAGACCCGCGTGACCCGTCAAACTCCGATGTGCTTCCCGCATGAAGGTTCTGCCGAAATGAAATTTGGACCCTTGACGCACCCGATAATTCTCGGCAGCGCACTGGAGCGATCGAGATGGGGACAAAGATCATAGTGGATTGAGGAGGAATCGAGAGCACATGTTTTTGCCCCAGACCACCAATTTGGGTGCCAACTGCAGGGAGTGGAGATGACATAAGAGCGCATGTGGAATGGGCGTGCATGTGGCATTTGGATCGAGGCACATGGAGCACATGCTAGAGATAAGGATGGAAGTGAGAGTGAGAAGGTGGTGTCTCTAATGTACTCGTACTCGTCCCGGCTGGGCCAACAGAACGACGGACCAGTTGAGGTCCAGACAATTTGGAGTAGCAAAAGCAAAAACAAAGGGGATTCCAAGGGAAGCACAAGCTTCTTTCCAAAGGATCCAACAGCTTGTCAGCCAATCGGGGGGATTGTGATGATGGGAGGAGAAGGGCCAGGTACCGCGTACCTCATGTGCACAAAGCACAAGTACAGGTAAAATACTCGGTACCACGACCCAAAGCGGCGATTCGGCTGTTGGCCCCAGGAAAACCACTGACGGAGCATGTGATCGATTTCCCTCCCCCCCAATAAAGAAGATCATCATCACCGTCCATCCACCGCCGTCCCATTCACCCATGCCACGGTCCGCCGCCCGCTCAATCATTGCAATTCCCTCTTTCTGCCATTCTTTCACCGACCGCTTGTGAGAACCAGTACCACGCTGCCACACACACACTCTCTCTATTCGTGCTCGACTTCACTTGTTCGCTTGCTCACCTGCTCACCTCCTCTCCTCCTCTCCTCGCCCTTCCTCCCTCCTCGTATTACCAATATACCACATTCACGCCGCATATCCAGCGTCGTCATTCCTCACAGTCCGACTCACCCTCTCCGACCATGTAGGGGTCTCTCATATTACCATTTTACCGCCTACAAGGACTCTTTCCGACTCTACACATTTGCCGACCGCCGACTTGCTGCGCACCGCATTCAACTCGCCTCACTTTTCCTCCGCGCGCAATGGACTCACAATCGCCAAATCCACCTTACGCCGTTCCTCCTCCGTTCTCACCTCCGCTTTCCGCCCACCGTTCGTCTGCCGAGTCTCATAAACCCGCCTCTATCGATATCGACATGATGCGATCTGACGACCGATCCACGAGGGCAGGCAGTGTGCTCTCTGGAATGTCCATCGAGGACATGGAGGCTGCCGAGACCCTGAATAATCTCTCTCAGAGTAAGAAGTCCCCCGAAAAGTCCCTTATACCCTAATCTAATATGCGCCGTATCAGAATACCACTCGCCGAGGCAATCTCAGCCGCAACAACCTCCTACGCTTGTCCAGTCTCATACCAGCTTCGACTCTGACCAACCGGAACCCCTCCTACGACTGTTTACGAGCCAGTATCCTTGGACCCGCCCTCTCATCAACGGCTCCTTGTCCGCTTATAAGACTACACAATCTTATATACCAGGTGCAGAGTGGACCGAGCGGAATGTTGGCTTGCCTATCGCAGGGACCGTCGCCAGAATATCGGGTGTGGAAGGTGGTTTGCGCTGGGCCCTACAACCCAAGCGCGATGGGAGATCGCCAAATAAACCCTCTGACATCGAGAAGGGGTATTCAGATATCTCCCCCAATGGGACCAACCGACCAACCTCCGAGACTGGTTACTCGGATTCGCTGCCCGCCTACAACCCCGGCGATCGCTCACCACCCTATGTTGAACAGCAAGTCCTTCTCAAAGGCCGTGACAATCGCCAACCTCCACCGGGTTGGCGCCAACAACTAATGGTCTCTACCAGCGGTCTAGGCATTGCCATGAGCGATGAATCGATTCGAAGTCTGCGGTACTGTCTCAGCTGGCTGCGCTGGGCAAATGGCCGACTCGGGGAAGCCATCCAGAATCTCAAAAACCTGCTTGAGCGGTGGGATGAAGGGGTCACTCCGGGTGAACAGCCCCCCACCATGTCCGTCGCGCATATGACTCAAACCCACGAAGAGAGAAGACAAGCTGCTCTGTCTGCCCGTATCGCAGCATTAAGAGCCGACGTCCTCCAAACCCTCAAGCATGTCGTTGGGATTGTCTCCAATTACGCGGGTGGTGCCTTACCCCAGAATGCCCGAGATCTGGTGCATAGACATTTGGTCAGTCTACCCCAACGTTTCAATCTGGCCAGCCGGGCGGACGGGGAGGAAGACTCATCCAGTGAGACCGGGCCTGAGAGCTCTGAAGCGGTCAAGAGTGGAAGGAGAGTCATGGTTCTGGCCCAAGAGGGGTTGGACATGATGACCCAGGTCAGTCGAGTGGTCAACGATACTCTTGTCAGTGCAGAAGGTTGGTGTGAGAAGCTGGGAAAAAGAGTCGATCGACAGCACCAGCAACCTTCGCAACAGTCACTGGTGGACGAGAAGATGGAGACAGACAACCGCGAGCGCAGCGCAAGGAGTGAAACAGTACGAAGCGAAACGCTCGCACCGAGTGATGGTGGGAGGGACGTCGAGGATGTCAAGATGACCATGTAACAACACGCGTACAAAAGGTGAGTGGCATATGTTTTCGTGGCGGGCTGTAAACGTTCCACCTCTCGATCTTATGGCACAACCTTGATGTAAGAAATACTTTTGGTTGGATACGATGCTTGCAATTTTGCAGACCCAGGGGGAGCGATACCCAGAAACAACGAACAATGGTTTGAAAAATACTGCCTGTGCACTACCTTGGGGAGAGAATGTGTCTCAAACGATCAAAGAATTAGCAATGATTAGATGAGCCACGTGTTACGGCATAAAATAAGACAAGAGATAGCTTCTTGACTATCAAAAGTTTGGAGTGGTCGATCAATTGGAAGCAAGCGGTCTGGTGAAGGGCGACAGTTCGCTTGATCCATCACATCAACGAACACCTTCGCACCACGGGAGAAGGGAGAAGAGGATTCCTTCAAGAAATATACTGATACCCAAAAAATTCCATTGCCATCCTTATGGTCTAAACCGTAGCTTGAGTTCTCCTGCACATATGTGTCTTGCTACAATGTGAATCTGCGGTTCAAAGATAGAAAAGAAGGTGGACAAGGCTGACGTTGGAGTCGGAGTCGGAGGAATCTTTCTGCGAACACAGCGAAATGTGGTGTTGCTCCAACATCTCCGCAGTCCAGCCTCTCGACTGCTGAGCGTCAAACCAAGTTCCACTTACTTACTGTACAGTACAAACACATGTCCCAAGTCGGGACGCAGCTAGTCCTTGCTATTCCACAACTCTTGAACCGTGGCCTCTCATCCGGTCGCACCATGACTGTCCCCAAGTGACAAAGACCATGGACCCCCAGCAATATCACGGGTCATCTCACCCCTCCGAGCAACCCACTAGCCGCACCATCTTCCCTAAAGGGCCTGTATTCAACCTCGAGGACTTCTCCAGCCGCGACTTCATAGCCAAAGACTTTATCGAATCCTTGACCGAGAGTGTACAGTCCGCTCATCGCCGTTCGCACGGGACCGCCAACGCGCCCTTCGACCCCAAACCCTTGATCCGCGCATTCGAACAGGCCTCGCGCCGCCTCGATGAACTGTCCGGTGAGCTCGAGCAGCGGGAGAATGAATTGTCCGCCGCCGTAAGAAGAGCTGAGGCGCAGCATGCGGGCAACACCGAGACACTGGGCAGGAAGCTCAACTCGACGATTGAGAGCTTTCAGAAACTAGACACGTCTTTGAAGAGCGACCGAGGGGAGAAATGGGGCGGCAATGTCGCGGTGGACACGGGGCGGAGGATCGAAGAGCTGGACCGACAGAGGAGGAAGGCTCTGGACGCGCACTTCTTGATTGAGTGCTGGGACGAGGTCAGTAACCGCGGGGAGGTGACCCTGTTGGAGAATCTAAGGAGGTCGGGGACCGGAGAAGGGAAGATCAGGTCGGCCAACATCGCCCGCCAGCTACTGAGGATCAGCCAACGGCTTGACCCGAAAAGTCACGGCCAGCCCAACGGCGTATCGACGACCAAGCAGGTCGGCATCACGAACGGAGTGACGGGGAGCCGGAGTTTCAACACCAGAGAAGTCATTGAAAAATTCATCGAGACGCTCGAGAACGACATGCTCAAGTTGTTTGACGACTTTTATCGACGGAAAAACTTTGAGGAGATGAAGAACTGTGCGATCGTGTTGCAGGACTTTAATGGCGGCGCGTCCGTGCAAGCGGCCTTTGTCAACCAGCACCAGTTCTTTATCGATCGGAGTAATCTCATGACCGAGGAGATTGGCGGGGACCAAGAGACCTGGATTCGACTCTCGGACCCAGACGCCGAGTTACCGGGCGTTGAACCTGGCTTGCAGTCGTTGATCGACGAAGTCAAGGTCGTGGTTCAGGAAGAGTCGGGGATCATCAAGAGAGCATTTCCCTACCCGGAACAAGTGCTGGGCAAATTCGTTCAGAGAGTGTTTCAGCAATCTATACAGCAAAGGCTAGAGTTGGTGCTGGAGAAGGCCGAGTCCGAATCCACGCTCGCCTACTTGAGATCGCTCCAAGCTGCGAGAAGTTACATCAGCGTCCTCGTCGAGGACTTGAAGGCACATGGTTTGACCGAGCATCCTGACCCGGCGACTTCGCAGACGAGTCAACTACTTGACCAGCAACTCGATGAACTCTTCACCCCATACTTTGGCGGTTCAGCATACATCGACAAGGAAAAACACAACCTCCAAGAACTCTACAAATCACTTCTGTTCAAGTTCGAACTCTTCCACTCTCGGCGCCAAAAGGAGCCAAAGACATACCTCGCAGCCATCCGCAATCGTGGCCAGGAACTTCTTGCCTCCGCTAGAGAAGCCACCGACGCGTACGTTAAAAGCCTGGACTTGGAGAAAATGTCGCCTACGCAGAAGAGGATCTTGTTGAGTGTCGCAGGTCTTCAGAGCACGGGTGGCGACGACAAGGTTCAACCGAATATGGAGCTTGACGAGGAAGACGGGAGGTTGAATGTTGCATTCGCAAAAAGGATGCTCAAGTGGCTCGCCGAAGGTGTCAGACGAGGGCTTGAACTAGGTGGTGGTTCAGAAACGCCAAAGGATGTCGCTGCTCTCCTCAACCTCGTCCTCAAAAATCTGTTGGAATCCTACGTCGAAGTGTCTCTCGAAGCCTGCGCGGACCTCGCCTCCTCCTTTGAAAATACACGACGGGAGCCCGACCTCTCTTATCTCTCTAACCTTCGCACCGCAGTGCACATTGCGCACCTAGTGCAGTCCTGCATCAACACTCTTCTTATCCCCCTGGCAAGCTCGTCATTGACCACGCGGCGAGAGATGGAGAAAGCTGCCCGTACAGCGACCATCCGCATCGAGGATCAAATCAATAACATTGAACAAGCCACCGTCGATGGCGTGCTTAACTGGACGTCACGATTGCTGTCCAACCAGAACCGCGTGGATTTCCGACCCCGGCAGGAGACGGAAGCGCCGAGCTTGGAACAACCTCAAACGTCAACCTGTGAAAGCGTGTGTAGATTTTTGGGCTTGTTCCACGAGACTGCAGTGCAAAGTTTCGACGGCGCGAATCTCAGTGTGTTGCTCATGGAAGTTGCAGTGGGATTCCGCAGTCAGCTCCTCCAGCACTTCACCAAGTATCAAGTCAATAGGATTGGCGGCGTGATGCTTGCGAGAGACATGTCCCGCTACGTCCAGCTTCTGCGGTCTTGGGAACTTGGCGGCGGCGCCAGCGGCGAGAGCGCCACCATCGACGCCGATGCAGTCAGCGGAGGAGCGTCCTTCAAGAACAGTCTCGAAGTGCTCAGTGAGCTTGCCAGCGTGTTTGTGCTGCATCCCGACGCGTTGAAGGAGAGACTAAGAGGGCCCGTCCTGGGAAATCTGGGCAAGGAGAATCTCAGACCGTATCTGCTCAAGCGGGATGATTATCTCGAGGTGGGCATGCAGAGTCTGCTGGCGTCTTTGTGATTGAATACGGTGGGAACCGAGGGGGGAAACATCCAATATGGACGAACGCTTGTAGGCATGTATGCATGTATTTGGAGCATATGCCTCCTTTGACATTTGTGCAACAGGGGAGAGAGTGAGTAGTACAGAAGCACCATGTCTAGACGTCCGGGACGCGGTGATCCAGGAGCAGTGTTCGTATTATTCGTTCGTTGGTACGGTGGACATGGGAGCACCGCTATTGGATTGGGAGTACTTTTCCGAATATGTATTTGCGGGAGCAGAGATCTATCTATGCTGCGAACATGAACATGAAGAGATACTACTCTCCCAGAAGACAATGATACCCACCACCCATATGCCATCGGATCCCATCAATTCATGTAGTGGTGTATGTGATTGTGCGAAGGGTGACTTGTAGTATGGCGTGCGTCGACTATGCCTCGTTTCGCAAAGGGCAAAGCCCTGAAAAAGTTGTATACATCCCAGACTCCGAGCGATTGCATGCTGCGCCATACCTAGCAATGCGATGTGATGCGAAGCGCCCGCCCCTCCCAATGCTCGTGTCTGTACACCTCCCGAGAATACTGTACAGCCCCTAAACAAAACCCATGTTCATGCCGGCGGTCCCCAGATGTTGAAGAATATGATGTCCGCTCGACAGCAAGTCTGAGGTTGGACGTCCAGAGACTCGATCTGCCGCCCCGGCTCCGCCTTTTCTTTGTAGGGTGCTTTATTTTCATATCTTGAACCCATACCCGGCCATGCAGTCCTTGTATTGCATGACCAGACTCTTGCAGTCCTCTTGTGGGTCGTCGGCGCGGGAGAAGAGCATGCACTCGTCACGCCGCGATTTCTCGTCCTTGCACACGCAGCATGGCTGGATGAGTCATAGGGGCGTTAGCAGACAATTCATCATTCCGTGGGCGGGTGGGCAGGTGGGTGGATGTGTGTGTGTACGTCGCACGCAGTGACGGATGAGGGACAAGTGCTCTCGCAGCCAGGGCAGACAAATACGCCGGTAGGGAGCCATCGTTGAAAGCGCGGTGCTGGACGTTTTCGTACCTTTACTTTCTCCGTCTTCTCTCCTGCCGACGCCGTTTTAACATCGCGGGCGAGGTTGTTGGGCGTCGAAGGTTGCGTGACTGCGGCGGAAGCATATATTAGTTTGAGAGGTTCCTATAGTCCTCTGCCTGAGCGGGCATTGGGCAGATATCAACATACCTGCAGCAGGCTGCGCGGGCGTAGGCGAAGAAGACGAGGAAAACCAACCCATCTTGACTGGGAGACTCTGTGATGTAGAAGCTGTTCTCTGAGAGAGCTTTGCGGGTTGAACTTTGGCTGAGAAATACAAATTGTATTTGGAGATGATTGGAGATCCGGAAGACGTCAACTGCTCTTCTCCCATCAAAGGATTCACCGTAGATGTACGGTACGGTGAATCACAAAGTGCCACTCCCCGCATTATGGGGACTTTGCCCATTTTGCAACTTTCCACTTTCCACCTTCAACCCAAGTGTCTACCTATTCCCCCATTTCCTCACGCCCTGCTAACCCTCCGCAATCATGGCGACTGGTCTGTTCGCCTCGTTGCCAAAACCCAAATACACAGGGGAACATGAAGAGGTGCCGATCCACGCACAGCCGAGAGGACCGCGGATCGTGGGACCCGGCGTGATTGATGAATCCCAGATTGTTTTAAAGGTCAGTACCAACCTTACCCTGGACTCTGGTCTCTCGCCCGACATACTGACACGTTACTTCTCTCGTCAGCGTTCTGGACCACCTCCTTACGGTCAGCGATCCGGATGGCGACCCCGCTCCGCAGAAGACTTTGGCGACGGCGGTGCATTTCCCGAAATCCCCGTGGCGCAGTATCCGCTTGACATGGGCCGAAAGGGGACGGCGTCCACCTCGAATGCGCTTGCCATCCAAGTCGACGCCGAAGGAAAAGTGAAATACGATGCCATCGCGAGACAGGGCCACAGCGAAGGCCGGATCATACATTCCAGTTTCAAGGACTTGATCCCGCTGAGACAGCGCGCGGACGCGGGCGACTTGAGCCTCGACAGGCCATCTGCAGAGGAGGCGCAAGCCACGGCTGAAAGGACGAAACTTGCGCTCGAGAAGTTGGTGTCCGGGGCGGTGGCGGCACAGAAGCCCAAGAACGTGAAGGGTGTGAATCGGGAAGAGCCGACTTACGTGCGATACACGCCTGCGAATCAGATGGGGGACAACTCCAAGAAGAATGACCGCATATTCAAGATTGTCAAGAAGCAGGAGGATCCTATGGAGCCTCCGAAGTTCAAGCACAAGAAGATCCCCCGAGGCCCTCCTTCTCCTCCGCCACCAGTCATGCACTCGCCCCCACGGAAACTAACCGCAGAAGACCAGGAGGCGTGGAAAATCCCGCCTCCGATCTCCAACTGGAAGAATCCCAAAGGTTATACGGTCCCCTTGGACAAGCGATTAGCGGCAGATGGTCGAGGACTACAAGACGTGACGATCAACGACAAATTCGCCCAGTTTGCGGAAGCCCTCTTTACAGCCGACCGACACGCAAGAGAAGAAGTCCGGCTTCGCGCGCAGATGCAGCAGAAGCTAGCGGAGAAGGAGAAGCTCGCGAAAGAAGAGCATTTGCGAGAAATGGCAAAGAAGGCGAGGGAGGAGAGACAGCGTGCCACAGAGACACACACGAAGCGGTCACGGTCACGCTCTTACTCGGGCTCCTCTTATGATTCTCGGAGTGATAGCGAAGACGAGGCGGCGAGAGAAAGAGAACGGGCTCGACGAGAACGTAGGCAGGAAAATGAACGACAACTCCGCCAGTCGAGGATGGGCGCCGAAAAGAGAATCCAGATGATGGCGAGAGAACAGAATCGAGACATCTCCGAAAAAGTGGCGCTGGGATTGGCGAAGCCGACGCAGAACCAGGAGACGATGTACGATTCTCGGTTGTTCAACCAGACCTCTGGGTTTGATTCGGGATTTAATGAGGATCAACACTACGATAAACCCCTCTTCGCAGCGCACGATGCGATCAATAGCATATATCGTCCGTCAGCAGGCAACCAGGACGACGAAGAATATGGCGAAGAAGCAGCAGAGAGCGCAATGGGCAAAATTTCAAAATCTAACAGATTTGAGGTCCTGGGCAAAGCCAAGGAAGGATTCAAGGGCGCCGATGTGGCGGAGCGAGAGGCTGGGCCTGTCCAATTCGAGAAGGACAAGGACGATCCTTTTGGGATTGACAGTCTCATCGGAGAGGCGTCCGCCAGGGCTGGTGGAGAAGGGAAGAAGAGGTATGGGCTCGAGCAGGCTGAAGATCGGGATCGGGACGAAAGAGAACGGCAGAGGAAGCGGGCGCGGGTCGATGATGATTGAAAGGTGCTGCTGGAATCTGGCGTTGGGTGGAGGTCTAAGCGAGCTGGATATCAGCTTTGAACCAGACAGCGTCTTAGCATGGCCTGGTCTTGGTATCAAAAGAAGAATCAATTTGATATACCCTTCCAGGCATTTTTGTTTTGCTCAGTGGTGTTGAGCTGAGCATGTCCTATCATGTCCTATCCTTTTTGTTCCTTTCCCCCTTTTAGCATTGCAAGTACGTATATGGATTCCGCTCTGCCCCTCTTGTCAGTCTGTGGATATCCCCAGGGATCCCCAGAGATCCTCAGATATATATTATATCTTTCGAGGTCGGAATCACTTCTCCACCACGAGGATCCCGAAATGCGGCCTCTCCTCACACCCGTCCCAGTAGTCGAAGCCGACGCCGTACTCGGCGCGACTCTCGTCGTCGGTTTTGGGGAGACGGACTTTACGCCATGTGATGGGGCCGCGCATGCCGGCCTGGCGCGCGGCGTCCTCGTACACCTCGCGGCGGAGGTGGAAGTTGTCGAACGAGATGTCGACGGGGTGGACGTGCGCGGTGATGCGCGTGTGGTAGCCCTCGCCCGAGGCGAGCGGCGGGGAGAGGTACGCGACCGAGACGCCGAAGCGGCGCATGGTCGCCTGCGCGGCGGGCGTGGCGTGCGCGGCTGCAAACGCGTCGAGGTCCCCTGCCGGGTGCGGTGTGATTCCCACGAAGCGTCCGCCCGGCCGCAGCGCCGCGGCGATGTTGGCGAACATGCTCGCCATGTCCGCGGTCGAGGAGGCGTAGTTGAGGAGCCACGCGCCTAGTACGATGTCGAACGAACCACTACCACTATCATCTCCATTGTCCTCGGCCGAAAGGACACCCAAGGGCAGCGGCTTCGTAGCGTCGCCCACCGCAAACTTCAACCGGCCTTGTCGAAACGCATCCAGCTCGGCCGCCGAGCGCTCCGCGGCCGCCACCATGGTCGGCGAGATGTCGACGCCGACGACGCGGCGTGGGGACGACCATTCGATGAGGAGCCGCGAGTAGTAGCCCGTGCCGCACGCGAGGTCGAGCACCGAGACGCCACCGCCATCGCCATGGCTCTTGTCGTCTGGCGGGTTCGGGCTGAGGTACGGCACGACGGTGTCGCGGAGGTTGTTGCGCTCGAGCACCGCGCCGGGGATCTTCTTCATCGACTCGTACGACTGGCCGATCTGGTCGTACTGGGTCGACGCCGCGGGTGCGATGTCCGGTTGTGGTGGCTGCTGCGTCGACATTTGGTGAATGTGTCGGCAATGAAGCTGTCGGAGAGAGGGTGAGACTAATGTGAGATTGATTCCTTGGAATGGTCGTGAGAGAATTGGGTGGATGGATGGGTGAGTAGATAGATAGATAGATAGATGTGTAGTTATACAGAATGGCGGGGCAAGCTGCTGGAATACGCAGATGAGCCCAGAGCAGTGTTATGTTTGCGGGCTACTGTCGTCAATATCACGGGTTTGGCTCTCTCTCTCTTGTCTCGTGTCGATGTAAAAGGGTTAGAAACCAGACAAAAAGTGTATACCAAAACAGAGGTGTTGAATGCAGAAATACCGAGTACCGAGTAGAGAGGTCAAAACTTGGGGGAAATATTGGTATGTCTTTGGCGTTGGCAGCCAATCAATCAATCAATCAATCACTCAACCATACCTTTCTTTTGTTTTGTCACCTTTCGGCACTGTTTTGGTCTTCTTCGAAATAGAGAGGTGGTGGTGGATCTCCTAAAGAAGCCTGGATGAGCGATCAAGACTCTGGCTCTCTATGGGTTCCACTATTCTGGTGTCGGGTAACCAAGATAATCTCATGATGCCTGATGTCAGGAATCCCTCCTAGCCAATGTGCATAAGGCCACCATCACAAGCGCTTTTTCTGATTGACGGGTGGTACAAAGACAAGTAGGTGATGCCACCTTGATCCTTGATGGAGCCAAAGGGTTTTCTGCTCATGATAGATCGGTCAGGATACCGGAGTCACCGGACTAATATACTCCGTATGCTACCCATAATGTCAGGGAGATACATTGCCAACGCGGTCCAGGCGTGGAGCATTGGCAGGGATATAAAAGTGCTGTAGTTGCCAATCAATTCTGACTAACATTATGGTTGAATTCAAAATGTCATCGAAAATAGAATGGCACTATAAAAGTCAAATTTCTTACAATGAAATCCAGCCATGTCTTTTTGATCTAGACCACACAGCCTACATACGCCTCTTTTAAAATAATAAAATACTGGGTAGATACCTATCTATACAAGACGAGTACTCAACAAGTTCTAACACCGTACTCGTGTGAAAGCGAAAAGGAAAATCCCAGGAAAAGCAAAAACAATCGACAGCCAGGATTCTCAAGTGGTCCCCCAACTTGGTATTAGTTGGGTGACCTCCTGGGTCAATGTTGAGGTCGGATGTCGTCGTTGCTTTTCCTCTGGCACAAAGGGTGAGCGACGGTCATGTACATATCATAGAAACCTCACAGCAGCCGAAAGAGTCCGCCGATGCCGTGAGGAGAGAGCTGAAGAAAACGGCCATCCAATTTCCTTCGATGACGCTCAAGATGATAATCGAACTTGGCAAGAGAATTCTCAATTGAACCAGGAAAAAATGTTGAATTTATGGGAGGAGTGCAGCATCTCCAGCACCCTGTTGACATTGATTTCACTGACTTGTCGCCGTAGTTGGTCCGTCGACGAGGGCAAACCGCAAACATATGCTATCGCACCAGGATGGAAAACACCTCCAATGGAGGAGCTGAAAGCCTTCGTTCGCTTTTTTCTGGACGCCAAACAGGATCATACCAAACCTTCCATCTTGGAAGCAACAAAGATCCTGACATCACGTGTCGCGAGTCACCGCGGCTCTCGCTTCACCTTCCCTTAGCTGGTTGTGCAACTGTGCCCTCGACGCGCAGATATTACACGCGCCTACCTAGGTTGGCCCCTTCACGCTCTCCCGTCTCCCATTCTCTTGAGAGAACCCATCGTGCACCTCACGCACCAACACTTGCCACCGTACAATTTGACATCTAAAGAAAAGCTCGATTACGTCATGGCCGGACGCGCGACCTGGGTAAACAACGACGCAGAACTGATGGGCGATGACATTGTGGGCAAGTTCCTTTCGCAGCAGCCGCAGAACCAACCGAGCCCGACGATGGGAGACCAGTTACGACGCTTTATTCATAGCCAAGAGAATTCACGAAATCCCTGTCGTCTCGGCTGCGGGAACCATGGCGTAGTGGTTCTAGTAGAGATTAAAGGCGTTTTACATGCTCTCAAAGTGGTCTGTATAGCATCTTCCCTTGCGTGAGTGTTTCCAAGTTTCACTTCAGTTCCAGAGCTGGAAACAAGTCGGTCCTGTCATCTACCCGTTCGAGCACGCTGTTTACATGTCACCACTTGCCAAAGAAAGCCAAGCATTCGCGCGACTCGACGCGCTTGGCGAGAATAGTACATGGAATTGTAGGTGCTATGGATGGATGAAGTTGTCCAATCAACAAATCAGTGTCGTCGGAGACGTCTTCGATACTCGCGACCTAAGCCGGTGGGCTATTGTAAAAGAATATCTACCGATGGCGACGACAGCTTCTCACCTCGAAACAATTTTTACGAACTTTCGGATTCCCCGAGAAGCGAGAATACACCCGAAGGATACTCGGGTCGAAAACTATCAAGGGTCGAAAACTGTTGATCTCTCGAGTGTATTGACTGAACCATGTCCAGAATGGTCGCCTTTCGAGTTTGAACAGTTTTACGAGGATGCTATTCATTATGTATTCACGTGGTGTCAAGCTGATCCAGAAGATTGCCCCCTTTCGACACCTTTACCTTTCCCTCAGCTACCTAATTTGGTACCTGCAATGCTTGGGGATGGATAATTTGTGACAGGTAATTCCTTGCCGGTCTCCATATGTAGCCACCATAACTCGAAGTCCCAGTAGCATCCCACGGAATGCTTTTAAACTGGAGCGGCCCATACTCGATATTGAGACTACCAACTTCGTCGTAAACCGATCCTGTATCGAGGGACATTGCCTGAACTCCTGAACTGACAGTTTCCATAGAAATCGTTCGCGAGTGAGAATTGTCATTTCTCGCCTGCTGCGTTACCATTCGAACGCTTCTCGTAGCAGCGAGACCAGGCCCTATCGTTTCTCTCGAGACTTTGACAACAACAAGTTCTTTTGTTGTGAATGATGTACCCATATCGGGTATTCCACTGACGTCCACAATAGGTTTGAATCTGTTTAAATGGTTCCGCATAGTCGAAATCCTTTCTCGAGCTATTCAACTTTGATTCGAGTTTGGTCTCCCCAGGACAGAGATTTCTGTATCCAAACCGCGTTACAACTCCTTTTCGAATACCAGCCCAGTCGGGGTAGTATCGATCGTCTTCATAGATCCCTTTCCGAGCCTTGTCTCCCTTTCCGATCTCGACGACGTCCTTCAGATCATCGTTCGAGTAGTGAATTGGCCATGCAAGACGCAAAGCCGAAGAAACTTGAGGCATAATGGTCCGCTCCAACACGCTCTCGAATGTTCTCTCAGTAAAGATCATCCTGTCTAGTTCGGTCAAAGATGGACTGGTTTCTGCCATGGATGGAAAGTTTCGGTGTAAGATGTCTCCGTACGAGTGCATCAACGTGTTGTAGTTAAATTCGGCCCAGTCTTCAAGCCCCGACAATTTATCCCAGCTGGGATTAGTCGTGTTCGATCCCGTAGATGAATGTAAACAATCTAGGACCGGATTGGGGAGAGTGAGATATTCTAGAAGAGTAGTAGTGGCCATAACATTCATCGCAATCAGAAATTCAAAATCAGGTGGAGCGAGAGGGAACCAAAATGAGAATCCGGATGCCTTACATATTTGCAAACACAGGAACTCAGCATCAACATCATACAAATAAGTGCTAAGCCAGTTATTGATTGCCACGTTCAGTCTGAGGCTACCACCATCCTACACCCTCCCAGACTTCACAACGCAGAATGACGGGTGCCATCATATGCCTGAAGTCCGCTTTCAATTGGAGCGATACCAATGACTGAAGAACAGCATCGCCCGACGCAACGTCACTGCTACAGACTCGAAAACCCTCATCCAGGATCGAGGAGCTCGTCGGCGTGAACTTACCAGCGCAATCTTGACAGGCGGCTTCGAAGTTTGGACACGTGCGTGACTCTGAAATCGACGTGATAGGTCGTTCGCTCCAAACATAACGTGCCAGTGGAACAGAAGGGATGCTCTGACCTCGTGAGGGTTTTCGTATTGGCTGGTCGACACGGCAGTCCACACAAATGGACGTAAGCACTGGAGACATGGGGCGGATCTCTGGTTGGTGTGGTAGGTTTGATGTCGAGAGAAGCATCGGGATGGGCTGAAGGGAGAGGCAGAGGTTTCCGGACATGTGACATGGCCAATACGAGCTTTGGCTTTCGACTCAAATTGTGCAATGATTACAATCAGTGCAAATGGGCATCTGGAGCAGCGTATTTGTACCACCCACCTCAAGCCAGAACCAAAAATCCCTGCATTCACAGCTGGTGCCCCTCCTAGGTGGCCTCCCACATGCTTTGCTTATCAATGGTTTAGCTTTGGGTGACGGCCACTGTGACGACCAGGATCACAAGTTGCTTCGCTACTTTCGGCTCCCATCCCTCAAGTGGTCACCCAGTTTTAATACCAAGCGTCTTTTCACCTCCAAACTCGAAACTCCTTCTCACAGCCCCCTGCTGTCACAGCCCAGCTCGATAGATGTTCCACACATTCAGCATCCTGGCCCCCTGACCCGGCGTAAACCCCGTATAACACGCATCATTCGAGTAATCCATAAACTAACCACGTCATCATTGATCAGCAGCCGGTCGCATAGTACCCAGTACCTAGTACCTCATAGAAAGAAAGAAAGACCTTGCGGCGATGACAAAACGTACATTGTGGATCGGGTCGAGACCCGAAAACCCCTGGGGACCGTACGGGTTCGACCCTTGGCTGGACAGGCCGGTGTAGGCGCTCGACGAGATGCCCGAGTTGGGGCACGAGTCTTTGTAGCCTGGACATCCGTCTAAAGAGGGGCGTTTGTCAGAGGTTAGTTGGGCTGGATATTCATTTGATGGCAAAGGAGCGGGGAGCCACGTAAAAATTGATTGGTGTCATGGCGAGAGACGAAGACAAGGACCTCAGGGAGAACATAGACAACGACAACGCTATAACACAGAATATGAAGTTGAGGACGAGGGGGGAAAAGAGTCGACATACTCGTACTGGTCATCTCTTGCGGCGTATCCGCCACATAATCTCCCCAGTCTGAAGCGTCACAACTATTCCCATTGAACGTGTGCAGCAACCCGTTCCAGTGGCCCACCTCGTGTGCCGTGGTCCCTCCCAAGTTGTACCCCTGCATATTTCCACCGGGCATGGTCCCGCTCAGTATATTACATCCGTCGATGTGATACAGGCTTCGGGGAGTCGTCGAGGTCACTCCACTCGCAGGTAAGGAACAGAACCCAAGCAACGTACTCCCTGCTGGGACTCCGGGGGTGTTACTGCCTGCTTGCAGAAGAGACTGATAGTAGATGTTCAGGCTCGAGTATGTCCCTGCTCGCAGCGCCCGCTTCATTCCAATGTCGTCCCCATTGCGCGCCCATGTGTCGTTCGTCGTCCGGGTCACCCCGGCCAAGCGGAACCCTATAGATGCGTTTGTGTAAGATCGGGCGAGATAGATAAACTGGTTCTGGATCATGGTATCGGTGATGTAGTTCGGTGAAGACGAGGATGAGCTGGCTGTGTCGGATACGATGTGCATGTACGTATCAATCGTGAAGAGAGCCACCAGGCTTTGGCGGCGTTCATGGCTGGAGGAATGACGGGTAGCGATGAGAGAACTGTTCCAGAGGTCGTTCTCGAGGGGTTCGTGTGTTTGGAGATATCGATGTGTGGAGAGAAGATCTTTCGACGGCGCAGCAACACCGCAGGACCGATGAATTGGTCGGTATTTGGGAATCCCGGCTAAACTGGATGAGCAGAAGATCGTCAAGGTGACAAGCAGTAAAAAGACCAAACAACGGGACAATTTCTCATAGAAACAAATCATAGTACAGAAAGGAACAAGGTACTTGGCAATGCGACAAGAGGAGCAGAGAGCAGAAAGCAGAAAGCAAGACGGTAAAGCGCAAAACAAAGGCGCAGATCACCCTCACAAGTTTGCCATGTGGGTGCCGTGGAATGTCGGAGGAATCGCATCAAATACCCGTCAATGACATTCTTTGCCACGCCACGTCGAAATCGGAAAGATACGCTCGAAGAGCATGTTTGCAAAGAAAGAATAGCGACCAAGGCTGACTGGATCTTTATAGAGCTGCACCAGTAGCCCCTGCCCCTAAACCCGTCTCAAATTGCATTGTAAACGCCGGCTCCGTGATATAACAAACACTATATCGCCCGTGTTAGAAGAATCATACACTCTTGTCATAACGTTTTTAAGACCCTCCAGGTCGAACTTCGCGACCAGTGGCGAGGATTCCGGTCGCCGGAGCGTCGTTGTTCCATGATAGATACGTATGGTCACCAAGTTTTCTGCTTCCTGGTAAGCGAATTTCGACACATCCCACAACGGGTATAGGTTGTCTTACCTGGGTCTGATCAGATGTGCAAGAGTAAACAATGCACCCAGAACGATGCATAATCCGCCAATGGCAACGTATGCAATCCCCAAGAACGAGTTCTTGCCACCCACCACCGACCTCGTCGAGATCAGGATGCTCTTGGTCCCGTCATACACTGAAACTGGGAAGACTTTGCCAAATAATTAGATTTCAGGCATGCAGACCACTATGGAGCGCACTCACAGTCATATATCTCCATCTGGTAGATGCCCGCCGTCATTTTGTCATCGTCATTGCGCAGGGCTAGTTTACTGAACGTGGGCAGACCAGCTGTCCTCATCCAGACTTGGAACTCTTCGTATTGCGACAAATCCGGGATTGGGTGTTCGTCGGTGTAGTTCGGATAACGCTTGATCCAGTTAGGAGGTGGAGCCACCTGTTCGTTGGTATATTTTGTCTTTTTGTAAAGAGATGCATCAGAGCTCCAGGCGATGCTCCGGTTGGTCATGACGTATGGTTGCGCAGGCGTATTCCCTGCTGCGTTCACAAGTTTTGGAGAATTTAAAGTGTCATTGAAGATGGAATTGGCAATCAACCCACACGGGTAGTAGGCCTTGCCTTCGTGGTTCAGTTTGAGCGGATTACAGGCGCTGTTGCTGATCGTGTGATTGCTGAGAGCATCTCCCTTTAGTTGATCCGTATCGAGCGACTTCACATATCTCCGATGATTTTGGTAGAAATTGGTGAGGCGATAGTACAAATAAACTGGAGGACCGATGTCGTTGGGAATGGAGAACTGAAGAGTACAAATAGGAGTGTCTTCGATCGGGACGCTCCACGGCGGGGTCGTCCTGTCTGTTGATCTCTTCCATTCCGCCCTCACCGCGTTGCTGGATGTTTTGAAGGACGAGTGAACTTTGGAATCGGGGATCTGAGTGAAGTTGTTGTTTCCTGCAGTCGAAATGCAGTCGGTGTAATCAATCCTCAGTTCTTGTACCTGAGACTGTCTTAGTATCCACACAGCCCATCTTATAATGCTCATTCCCACTCACACTTGCGCTCGCCCATAGAAGAAGCCCACCGATGGGGGCAAAAATGATGCCCACGACGAAGAGGAGGGGGAGGACGGTCTTGGGTGTCAGAATAGGCCTACAAGATTAGTACTTCCAGCGGCATTATCAACAGGTATAGCGAAACTCACTGCCATGCCTTCAGCCTCTGCTGCCGAAACGCGGTATCTGTGTAAAAGGATCCTCGTCAGCAAAACTGCGATTCGCGATCAGGGTGTTGCTGCTGCGTACTTGCGGGGCGTCTGCTCTTCTGTTTCTTCGGAGGTTCGTTGTGAGGGTCTTCCTCATGTATGGAATCAGCTTGCTGGACTTCTGTCCGCGACATCGTGTCTCCGTTGGTTCCCCTGCAATATTGACGGGACAAATGGACAAAGGGGACGCCGTCGAGGTCGCTTTTGAAACCGCAAAGGTCAAACTGGGGGTGGCTGCACACTCAGCATCTCGGCGCTGCATGCGCCATTCCGGGCCATCCTTCACACTAAACCCTTTTTAGCGTGTCACAGCCCCCCCAAAGATTCTCTGTCATTTGATTCGTATATCAATTTTCTCTCGGCCTTTTCGTTTTCACTCTTTTCTTTCTTTTCTCCCATAACTCATTCGTGGACATGATTTATTGTAGGAGCCAGGGTTGCAGATTCTCTACTTGCACAAATCTCTTTCTCCTCTGCTACATGATCCCAGATCAAGATCATGAATCGTCGCGCCGTAGCTGGAGCGTGCTATGAAAGAATCAAAATTTCCATGATGCTTCGGTTCCCTTACCGACGGCTGCTACATTACCCCCAACGTCGAGTTACAATGAAATATTCGAGTGCGCCGCTACCGTCCGTTTTCGTTTTTCGTTTTTTCGTTTCTTTCCCTTTTTGGGCTTGTTGGTCGTGAGCAGTCACATCGCCCAGTTTGTCTATATCGCTCACCCAAGAACAATGTCTCTTTATCCGCAAGGCTCCCGGAAATCCAGTAACACATTGTTAGCCGACTCCAAAAAACACCTTCGCTATGTTAATCCAGTGGTGGTACATCCATCTAGTTATCGCTTTTCATCTTGGTCCCCCACTGCCCAAGTACTTTCTTGTTTCGTTCCAGGAGGTAGCCACCCAGAGATGTAGCTCGGATCGTGTTGTCGACTGCGACTATCATCTCTCTTGGGATGTGAATCTGACATTCCGTTCACATAGTCGTCATGAATCTGGGAGCCGTCATGGTGGCCTGGTGTCTTCACTTCGGCAACAGGCAACAGTGGTGTATGCTTGTGACGAAAATGATCGGCACGAGTCCTTCGTTCGGCGGCGTCTTCCATACTTGTCCGATCATACAGATAAAGGCCAAAACATGTGAGACCGATACCGACAACCTGAATGGGGGTGGTCGAACTGCGGAACCAGATAATCGCCACAACAATAACCCATACCCTTTTTATCAATGAGGCAACCGAATACGAAACCGGGGACAACATGGAGAGCAGGACAAACGCCATGATGTTCTGGAAGAAATGGAAGATTCCATTGAAGACAAATTCCAGAGCCAACTGCCCGTGATCCATGGCACCTCTCTTTTCAGTGAGATCAATCGACCCATCCTTCCAGAAGTCTCGCATGATTTCCAAGCCTTCGGTGTAAAGCCAGACTGGCGCCGAGAGCATGAAGGCTCCGACGGAGCAGTAGCATAGGAGATTGAGCTTGTCCAATTTGCGGGGGAGGTGCACCTGGCCTTCGGCTTCCGCGCGGGCCGATTCGGTGAATAGCTTCTTTGAAAATATATTCTGCGTCACAAAGACAATGGCTGCCACTAAGGAAGCACTGATCCCCCAGAAGTTTGTCGAAAAATCGGTAGAGCATGCCAACATGACTCCCACGGTGAGTGGGATAAGCGACATATATGTGGCTTGTTTGTAACGTATGCGGAACACTAACCGGTATGCCAGCACAGTGAATAGAGGTGAGAGACCTTTGATTGTGTGAACCAGCGAAACCGGGATTTTGGATGTTGCATATGAACTTAAGAGGTGGCCGAGCAACTGGAAGACTGAAAGAGGAAATGCCGTGTACAGGACGTCCCATGAGGGTTGTCGGAGGCCGTTCCTCAGCGCAGGTATACTTCTTTTGATCGAGGGGAACAGAGACGACAAGCCTGTCAGAATCAGGCACCAGATCGAGACAGAAGCGAACTGTAGGATCGTGAGGGTTGCCGGCTTGGGAAATGCGTTTAATATCGACTTGGAGGACGTATTCGTCAAGGCAGAGGTCATATACCAGGTGATGCACAGTGCCTATTGTTTGTTAGATTCTGGGTGGGATCACAGTCCAGGTCACTCACAATCAGTTTGTAGGAAACTGGGGCTTTCAGAGCCTCAGCCAGTTCTTGCGCATTCTCACTCACACTACCTTGTCGTGTACGAATCCTGTGTATGGCATCACTGACGCTTCGCCTGGACCTATGTGTGTACACTCCAGAGGGCCGAGCATCGCGCAGCCTCTGGCTCATCTTTCTGATCGGCCATTTCAACTCGCCATTGAGATGTGGCGTTGAAGTGATTTCTTGTGGACTTTCTGCAACCACGGAAGCATTGACGTAGAGGTTTGGAGGAGTGCTGTTGTCAAAAGAGGGGAATCTTTCATGGCCAGAGGACTCGTTTGCGCTCTTCAGGGGAGATACAGATCGGTGCGTAAATGTCCGGGGTTCAGGAGTCTGGGTCATGGTGGTGGTCATAGTCGATGCCAAAGTGGTGTGGAAGGAAACAGGATTGAAACAGACACAACCGCTCTGCACTGCATTTGCCGGTGTGCTGTTTCAAGGTATCCTTGTCATGTTCGCCATGTGCATGGCGCGGGCGTCGTTTTGTTGTTGTATGTGGCAAGATTGTTCAGTGGTTGGATCAAACTTGGAGATTCATGATGCATAGAATCTTTCAATCTCGGACAATACCTACAGTAGCATGAGCAGGGATGGTAATCCTCTAGCGCCACCGCAGCTGCGCCGCCATTGCGCGGCTAGATAACGCAAAGCCTATCTTCGGATAAATTGCCTTTCTAGATGTCGGTCCCGGATTAACTGGAGCTCCGACACCGATATCTTTCCGCCTCAACTCACTTTGTTTGTTGTGCAGATGAGGGCAGTTGATCGCCATGTAGTAGAATGGGGCTTGTGAAGCTGTTGAGCCTCTGGCCCTTTGTTGTCGCTCGTCCGCTTGCTAGTTCCTCTGCCACCACATCTCAGGATATACTGGCGGCCGAGACTACCGTCGACCAGAGTACTATCACCATCCTTCCCACCTGGGACGTGATCGGCCCATTCAGATTAGGAACTCGAGGTAGTTGGAACAGCTCTGTTGAAGTGCTTGCTGCAAGACTAACATCCTGGTAGAAGCGGTTTGGGGCGCTGACCTTCTTGAGTTTTACGGAGGGATCCAGTACAACACTCCGAATGAAGCGACCTGCTTCCCGAGTCCGTTGGCGAGAAACGCGACAGTGCAATGGGCTCGGCAGAAGTATAGCCCGAGGATATCGAACGGTGAACACTCACTGACTCTTTCTCTTGACTTTGACGGGATTGATTGGGACTTCGCTCAAAAAGTTTATGGATGGTCGGCATTTCAGTATCAAGCATGGGCGAAAGGGGAGATCTTCAACCAGGACACGGTGAGTAGAGTTGTCAATGTCTTCAGCGACAATATTATTGAACTCTGGATCAATGATATGCATGTCTTTGGTGGGGACTTCTTCGGCTTTGGACGAATTCCCATGCTGGTTGAACTCCACCCTGGGGTTAACAACATCAGCGTACGACTTGTGCGTGAGGTTCGCTCCATGGGGGGCGGTTTCCCTCCAACAGTCCAAGCAGGTCTGAGGATAAAACCTGCTTCTGAAGAGGTCGCAGTTGTCACAGATGGCTTGGTGATGCCCAATGTGGTCAATGGGAGATTTTGCACACGATATGGTAGCATCCCGGTCCGAAACCAAGGTGCGACATGGATATATGTGCACCGGATAGCAGCCGTGTCTGCGGAAAGCAGTTATGTCGTTGCCAGTCAAGACATACGCCTTGCGCCTGGCCAATCGCGTCCAGTAAAGATGGTCTTCGATACCAACTTCAGATTGAACAAATCATTGAAGCTCGTGCTGGTGTATTCAGGTCAGGACGGGAGGCTAAACGAGATCACCTTCACTGCACAGCCGGAGCATGTAGAAATGTCCTCCTTACAGAGGATTACATACACCCATCCAAGCGGCACAATATCTTATGCGATGTTGAAGCCGCCACCTACGGCCAACAAGACAAAAAGCCACGACTTACCTGTCATCTTGAACCTTCATGGAGCTGGCGTGGAGGTAGATGGACCCCTGGCGCGACATATGTTTGACGATGCTCCTCATCTGCCGGCATGGATACTCACCCCCACAGGCATGAGTCCCTGGAGCGGTGATGATTGGCATACTTGGGGATTTGCTGATGCTCAGTCCGCAGTGGCCGCAGTTGCTGACTGGATTGACACCACAGGATGGGACGGTCCAGGCGTGTATTCTGAGAAGCTTCTTGTTGCCGGCCACTCCAACGGTGGGCAGGGGACGTGGTATTTTGCTTCCCATCAACCTGATCGGGTTATAGGTGCCGCCGTTGCGTCGGGATACTCTTCGATTGAAAACTACGTGCCATACGTCTTGTGGAATGAAGCATCCCCTCTCCAAAACGCTCTTCTCGAGAACTCAAGAAGCAGCTTCCGCCATGAGATCTTGACTGAAAATTTGGTGGGCATCTCGATCTTACAACAACATGGATCAGCTGACGACAATGTTCCGGCCTACCACTCTAGACTGATGAACGTCTTGTTGGCACAAGTAGGGCAAGTGGTGCAGTATTCGGAGATGTTGCACAAGGGACATTGGTTTGACGGCACAATGACCACCAAATCAATGATGGAATTCTACTGGCGACATCTGACTGCATGGCGTATTAAGCTCACTGTGCCCGTATCTTTTGTTTTTGTCATTCCAAACTCCCATGACATGGGGTCCAGGTATGGGATCGTTGTTGACCAGTTGTCAACCCCAGACAGACTGGGGAGAATAAAGGTAACAACCAGTGTATGTGGATCTCTAGTTCAGTGGCATATACGGACAGAGAATATCCACCGATTTCATATAGATCCCAACGCACGGCTGGCGAATGCTCCTGACCAATTCCTCATCGATGATGTGCCACATGTTTTTGACGCCGGAAGTGGATTGCCTCCTTTTGTCAAGACCACCTCCAATGTTTGGGTCAGGGAGGTCACCCTGGATTGGAGGACGTTGGACCAGAGATTCGGTCGTCAAAGAGGAGCCTTGGACGCAATACTTCGAACAACTGGACCATTTCAAGTCGTCCACGATTCCGACCAGACACTGTCCATCGCAGTACAAACAAGCCGAAACTTTTTGCAGTATTTTGGAGCCGATACAACCGTTGTTCCTTTCTCCGAGTATGGACAAGCATTGGAGAATGAGGGAAATGTTCTCACAATCTGCCTGGGACTGTCGATACCAGAGGCTCGCTTCCCAGGATTTCCAATTCGACTTGCTAATGAAAAAATCCTCATTACTGCACCAGGGTCGGGATCGATATCGTTGCATTTGGAAGCAGGAATGGGTGGAGTGTGGCTTCGACCTCTGCTGAGAGAGCGTTTGGAGCTTGTCGTGTGGGGGTTCGACGAGGTTGGTTTGCGACAAGCTGCAAGGCTGATACCCACGGTAACTGGAGCTGGTCAGCCGGATTTCGTGCTTTTGGGTAATGAGGCAAGGTGGAAAGGTCACGCAGGTGCTATCGCAATGGGCTTCTTCGATCGCAACTGGATGATATCATCTGCTTCATACCTGCCCTGACGACAATTGGGAGTCGGGATCACAGGGCGAGAGAAGTAGAGAAAATTGCAGAGAGATCGTGTAAGGCATGTCCACTGCCTGGTAGGTCAGTTGGCGAGGGAGCAGACAAGAGCAGAAATCGAGACGCAAGAGGCGAGTTTGTGGTGAAGAAAGAGCGTCTTCTAGAAACCCACCTCAGTCACTTCTTCACTGGCCCTTGACTTCCTCTTCCTCTTCTTCCTCGTCTGCCTGCAACTGCCATCACTCTCTTCCTTCTTTCCCATCACATCTTCCCCTTTCCTTCTCATACGTCTCTCTCTTTGTTCTCACCCCCTACACCCTCAACTTCTCCAGCATTTCGCAAGTCTTCCGCATTTTGCAGGCAATCTCTTGTCACTGTCGCCGCTCTGACGGTGTGCTTCTCTCCCTGACTTCTCTTGATCTAATACCTGGATATCTCTGCATGTTGTAAAGACCTCAGTCAATCAGGCTCTTTGGTTTCCGGACTTCCAACAACCCCATGGCCACGCTTGTCTCAACTGGATCTCCAACAGGCAAGATGAGTCGCAAATCTACCCCAACAGTCAAGGTCAGAGAGGAAAGTGATGATAGCTCTGCAGCCGTGGCAAGCACGCTCACTGTAAGTTTTGCTTGTTTTTCGGCTTCACTTTGTCACTGACACGCACTTAGATGGCCACCAACTCTCACTCCGCAACTTCTAACCGTCCTTCCTACACTATCTTGCACAGTGACAAGCTCAGCAACGTCCAGCCTCCAAAGGCAAAGGACAAGGTATGCTGCTTTATTCGCCCTTTCAGAACAACCTATCTTCTATAGCCGGCTAACTCCCTTTTGAGCAGATCGTCTCCAAACCTTCTGAGCCTAACGTGATGGGTGGCGGTGGTATGGAGGACATTCTCTCGCGCCTCAAGCTCAATGACTCCCGTAAACCGACTGCTACCCCAACTGGCGAGGTCAAGTCGCGAAAGCCTGATGATTTCGGCAATCTCGACAAGCTCCTGAACAATCTCCAAGATTCGAGCAAGGCTTTGAAGAAGCAAGAGCAGGAACTCAGAAGCGAGATGCAATCCGAGAACCACAAGGGCCACCCTTCCAGTGATGACAGCTTTGAAGCTGCAAAGCTTACTCAACACTCAGCAATTATGAGCAAGGTCGATGTGGCCGAAATGATGCGCGTCAAACAGGAGCTCGAGGCCGCCCGATCCGTCATCTCACGCCAGGAACAGGAGCTCGCTGAGACCCGCACTCTCAAACAGACCATCGACCAAGCCATGGGGCCTCCATCTGAAGTCGACTTTGGTGCTTCCACTGATATCTCTGAACAAACCATAGGTCATCTGCAAAGCGCTTTCAATGCCTCTGCCCGTCCCTTCACATCGCAGACCGACGCTTGGGCTAGTCAGGACGAACACCGCAACGATTTCATCCGTAGCCGGGGTATCTGGAACAACCCGTCAACATCCATGACGAATCTTTTGGCTACCAACCCTACTGCTCCAGCATACAACCATCCTCGTGATGCACGTCTCTCTGGACAGGCCTACAATGGAGTCTACGGCGCACCCTTCTCCCCGGCAGAGACAAATTTCCAGCCTCGCAACTTCTCAGGTACTGGAGCTCCGCTGGGATACGACATGAGGTCAAATAGTGACATGATGCCAATTAATCCTACACTCGGCGTGAGACGCAATGGTGGACAATTGAGGATCAACCCAAGCCTCGCTGACCCAATGTCACAGCTTAGTAGCTTCCCGCCAACCGCTACCACGTTGACGCCCCCACCCATCAGCCCTGTCGGGTTTCCAGGCCAGTACAACTACCAACGAGGTATCACCACTCCAATCACTCCTGCCACAGACTTCAATACCACCGGAGTTCAAAGTGCTGGAAATCCATGGCCTCTCTCGGCTGGTGGGGTGAATGGCCAAACCTATGTCACGCCCCTTGAGCCAATGAACTATCGCCGTCTCCTCGACAAGTCCGTGTCCTGTGATTGGAAGTACATTGTCGACAAGATCGTTTGCAACAATGACCAGCAGGCCAGCATCTTCCTCCAGCAGAAGCTCAAGGTCGGTACCGCGGAACAAAAGTTTGAGATTGTTGAAGCCATCGTCAACCAAGCTTACCCACTCATGATCAACCGGTTTGGCAACTTCCTCGTTCAGCGATGCTTTGAGCACGGAACCCCTGACCAAGTTGTTGCCATTGCCAATGCCATTCACGGCAATGTGCTTTCCTTGAGTATGGATCCTTTCGGCTGCCATGTCATCCAGAAAGCCTTTGATTCGGTTCCAGAAGACCACAAGGCTGATATGGTTCGAGAATTGCTTCGCCGCATTCCGGATACGGTTATTCACCGCTATGCTTGTCATGTTTGGCAGAAGCTCTTCGAGCTCAGATGGAGCGGAGAACCACCACAGATCATGCTCGAGGTCAACAAGGCGCTCCGTGGTATGTGGCATGAAGTTGCACTGGGTGAAACAGGCAGCCTGGTTGTTCAGAACATTTTCGAGAATTGCATCGAGGAGGAGAAGAGACCCGCCATCGAAGAAGTGATTGCCAACATTGACCTCATTGCCCACGGTCAGTTCGGCAACTGGTGCATCCAGCACTTGTGCGAGCATGGCTCTCCCCCGGACAAGCGCCGCGTCATTGACCATATCCTTGCCAACTCGTACAGCTACAGCATTGACCAATTTGCTTCTAAAGTTGTCGAGAAATGCCTCAAGATCGGTGGGCCTGAATTCTTGGATCGCTACCTTGGAGTCATCACCACTGCTCATCCAGATCGTCCACGCATTCCGCTCATCGACATTGCTGGCGACCAATATGGCAACTATCTGATTCAATGGATCTTGATGAACACTCACCACCATCAGCGAGAGCAGGTGGCCATCCATATTCGAAAGCACATGGTCTCCTTGCGTGGTTCCAAATTTGGTTCCCGAGTCGCCATGCTCTGCTGCAACCCGAACTCGGTCACTCGTCCTGGTCCCGGAGCTGTTGTCAACCCATTCGGAGCTCCTGGTCAGCCACGCAACCAATGGCCTCGTTTCCGCTAGGTCAGAATCTCGATACGTCTTTATGGACGGAGGTCTAGTCTTGCGCTTCGTCATCTCATCTACTTACGTGTCATCTTGTTCAAGATGAGGGTATTCTACAAGTTTGTCAATACAACAAGGGGCGACTACCCTAAAACTTGGAATACCGACCAAACCTGCCACGACCGATGGGGAGGAGGATACTACTCGAGCCATTGAAGTCAGTATCTTATCTTGGCTCGGACCTCTTGGCTGCTCATTTGCACCTGCCTCTTATCGGACAAAAATATTCAATTGTATGTGTTTCTTCATATCGACAAGGAATGTTTCATATCTGCCGACGACACGAAAGACCCGACAAACATCGGCCGCGTGTGGGTGTTTGCTTTGAATCACAACTTGTTGATGGCAATATTTCAGAGCTAGCAGCATTATCGGCGTCAATGTTCGTCAGTCATGGCGGATGACTGTGCATCATATCGTGTCTTTGACAGTTGTCCATGGCCCCGCCGGAAGAAATGAAGGAGAAAATTGACAAAGCATGTATTTACCAGTGGCATGATGAAAAAACCCATCCAGAATGGAAAGAACAATGTAGCAGATAGTGAACATCATAGCTGAACAAAGCGTGCCAAAGAGTCTATGCCTTGTTTTTTTTTTTTTTTTCTCATAGGGGTTCCCCCTCTGTCCCAGGAAAACTGGTATAGGGATTGAGCTCCATCCATGAGCACGTCACTTTGCGGAGAGAGTGTCATGCAGAACAGACATCACTAATGTGCTGTACACTATGGTTCGAAATGTCTCGACCCTGATTAATTTCCCTTTCTCCGGCTAAGGACGTACGCATCTCTCGGCTGTACCATCTCCGTAACTTGAGCCCCGATGCTTTGCATGGAATCTCGAATCTCAGTGATAGCCGTAGTCTACCGTGGATGTTGCGAGATGGCGATAGCAAGTTTTCATGCATAACTCAGCGTACTTGTTGCTTCTTCATCTGGCAAATAACATCCTCACATATGTGCGTGGTAGACCTCTCCGTCGGACATGGCAACTATGGTGAACACGGTGCCGCAGGACTGTGTGGAGTCGCCAATGGCATAGCCCCTTCCAATATCATCTCGAATGGTGACGGAGGGTGTGCGTTGCTTTCTCTTCGAGTACCTCTGTTCAATCTCTACTGAGCAGCCCACTGTCCGGGATCGCGTTGGGTTGCAGAATCTTTACCACCCCTTCGCCGGCCATTTTGTGTCCGTTGATGTCGACTTCTTTGATCCCAGACTCTGGTTCACGGCTCTCTTCACTCTTGGTCGTGGCTTGTGTGTCACTTGCCTGGACAGATGTTCCATCCGCTTGCGACGGTTGTTCTTCCGAGCCTGACGTGTCGGTATCTTTCTCCCAAGGTTTCCTCCTCCGCGGTGTCTTATCGATCTTGCTCGATCCTGGCTCGAGGACAGTGGGCGGGATCTCTTCTATCCCTGGAACGGGGATGTTGCGCGTTATAAGGTCCACAATAGCCGCGAAGGAAGTGGGGTATGGTGGGTCTTGAGCAGCTTCCGAAGGAGCTGTACCGGTATCGGTTGAGGAAATGGAGGCGGTAGCGGCCGTTTGAGGGGGCTCTCGTGGCAGCGAAGACGGCGCAGAGGATGTCGGTGGTTCTAAGGGGTTGGCTTCAGGTTGGGAATGTGATGAGAAAAGCTGAAGGTGTGGATGTGGATGTGGTTGCGATTGAAGCCACGCTGAGTATGCTTGCGGAGCTACAGGCGGGGTGATGTGAAACCTCCTCGAGAAATAGAAGCATTTGGCCTGGAGCACCAGGTCTGACTTGTCGCGCAGTTCTTCCGGTGTTACAGGCGTGTCCTGGTGACCTAAAATCGTTGCAAGGCCGGCTTGATACTCGGAATCAGTAGAGAATGGATAGCGGGACAAGTGAGTGTAGATGGCCTCCAGATCTGGTGGAGA